CTTAGACCCTTACGCTTGCCGGGGAAGTGCTCATTCCACTGAGCCATCTCCCCAGCCCCTATACTTTGTTTTTAGACTATAATTCCTGCAGTGGAACTGTAGACCTAACTAGCATTGTACTTGTGGCTGTGTGCATGTGTATTCATTTGTTTGGTGGTGTTTTAGTAATGGTGATGGTGGTGATAGCAGTTTTTTTGTGTTTTGTTTTGATTGAGTGTATCAGATTCTTACACTTGAGAGTTAAGAGTGTAGATAGCCACTGATGCAAATAACCTGAGATGTTTACAAATCATGCTCTCACTGGCAATAGCTTCTAGGCATCCAAAGTCTGATATTGGCTACAAGAAGCACCCCCAGCTCAGCTGCTTCTGTAGGAGGTCCTTGGCTGTAGTTCCAGTCTATTCAGCTTGGTTAGTTCTGCCTACGTTTTTGAGTGTGGATCTTCTAGCCTTCTGTTCTGTGAGCTGAGCTGTTGGATACCCTTCCAGACAATTATTTTACTTTTCTGAATTATCCAGTCTTTTCTGTTGTTTCAGACTCTTGACTAGTTACAGCAGCCTTAGTCAAAACAGCTTTAGTTATATCCAGATGCTTATTTTGTGAAGATTTACCAGTGACTTCATCTACATTTTTATGCCAGTAAAATAGTTATGATTTGCCTATTTCAGTTCATAAGTTACTTGATGGTTTTATCTTGGAGATTTGATTATTCATTTTAATAGACTTTGTTTTGTAGTAATAGACATTGAACCTAGGACCTTCACACTTAGCTCTATCCCTAGCTTTTTTTGTGAGAAAGGAACTGGCTAAGTTGAACACGTTGGGCTCTTGAGTTCAATGTATAGATCAAGGTGGGAAGTACGGACTACTTGACAAAACCAGTTCTTTGATCCATGCACATGGAATAGCGTTCCCTTTATTTTATTATTTGGTTTCTTTTGTGTGTATGTGCATGTGTGTGATTTTCCTTATAGAGAGCTTGTATTATTTTGGTAGATTTATGCCTGAGTACCTATTTTTGGATGCTAATGAAATTAATACTGCTTTTTCATTTCAAATTCTATTTATTGCTGGTATATAGGAATACAATTGACTTTGGTATATTAACCTTATGTACTGCAACATTACTATAATCAACCTGTTCCTTGATTTTTTTTGTCTCCCAGATTTTCTCCATTAATGGTGGTATCAGTGATAAAGACAATTTTTTCTGGTGGTGGTACCAGGGATTGAACTCAGGACCCTGTGCTTGCCAGGCAAGCGCTTATTCCACTGAGTCATCTCCCTAGCCCGACAATTTTTATTTTTCTTTCCTGATTTATATGCCTTCTTTTTCTTTTCTTCATTAGCTGGTACTTTCAATGCAGTTTTAAGAAGTCATTTTCCTTGCCTTGTTTATAATTATAGGGGAAAGCTTCTAGTTTCTTACCAGTAAGTGCAGTAAGTGTTGGAAGCTTTTTATAGATACTTACTGGTTTGAGGTAGTTCCTTTCAGTTCCGAGTTTACTGAGATAATTTTATTTTAGCATTTAAAAAATATTTATTTGGTACACAGCTTTGTTACACAGAGGACTCAGTGATCCTCCTGTCTCAGCTGGGGATTACAGGCGTGCGCCACCATACCTGGTTGGGCTGGTATGGCATGCACTACTAGGGATCAAACCTGGGTCTTTGTGCTTGCTAGGCAGGCATTTAGACCACCAAGCTATCTTCCCCAGTCCTACTAAGTTAACTTTAAAGCTTTGAATTTTGAGTTTATTTATGTGTTCTAAGTACTATGTGTGATTTGCAAATATTCTCACCTAGTAAGTTTTATGGTTTTACATTTAACTTGTTGCTGCTTTTTAAGTTCATTTTTTTATAAGGTGTTAAACTTACTAAGTCAAAGTTCATCTTTTTTTTATTTTTGAAAATAAATTTTATTGTATATATGTAAAGTATACAAAAGGGTGTTATGCAAAACTTTTATAGTGATCTGGTTGTTATACTGAAATAAATCGACATAGTCATCTCATGAAGTTAGCAATTCTTATCTCACTGTGGCTAGAGCAGATACATTTTAGAAAAAACTATGGTTATAGTACACTATTGTTAACATTGGTCCCAATTTTATGTTAAAACTTGAGACGACAATCTTTCAGTCTACTGCTTTGTTTTGGTTTTTTTTGTTTTCGGCTTGTTCATTTCTTTCTTTTTTTTTTCCAAAGTTTTATTGATAAACAGATAGCAATGAGACAGTTTCAAATCAAATGGGAAGTACACTTTCAACAAATAATACACTGCATATATTCTTCTTAGTGGTTAATTGCTGTACATGATGTGGCCTTGTGATCCTATTTACAAACACCATTAGAACAAATCATTCTCTTCATTAAGAGAGGGCAACTATATATCTATCCCAACCACTTTGAATACACAGATACAAAATGGACGTTCATAGGTATACCCCATTTTTTCTACGTTCCGTTATTGAATATTATAGGTGTGTAAACTCAGCAAAATATTCTAAAAGAGTCCAGTAGCCCATAATAGCATTGGGTCTTCTGTTTAACTGGCAATGTCAGAAATTATTGACCTGAGTCCCCCACAGCTCAACTTAACAGCATGGCTTTATTTCCTGTATTTCGTCTTCATACTTTTCTACTGGATGGTTAAGACCAAGGTAAAGCAGGACCTATGCAACAAGAGTTGTAGCTTTTTGGTCTGAGAAGGTCAGTGAAATGCCCTCAGGATTTATCCTGAGATCCTGTACCTCAGATTGTAGAACCTTTGTCAGTGCAGCCATGTGGATGAGTCACGGCCATTGCTTGGCCAATGTGCTCTCTGTGAAAGCCTGAGAGAGTGTCTTCTCCCCCTGTGACTCTCCTTAGGCACACTCTACATCATCAATCACTTTCCTCTTTGGCCCCATAATCTTCTTGATCAGAAAATTTGGGACACTACCGAGGTACATGACGTTACAGTACAAGTTCTCATATGTCCTGAGTCTTAATTGACCTTAGAAGGTTAGGGCCAAAATATTGGCTTTCCTTTTAGCCCTCTTTTTTCTCTAATTTTGGTCTGCAAACTTAGGTTGTTAACCATCCAGAAGACAAGCTTATTGTTAGTATCAGACGATTTAGGCTATCAAGCTTAACCTCACTATCTCACTGCATTTCAAACATCTTAGGCATAATAAGGAACAGGTATTTTTCATCAAGTATTGATATGTTGAACTTTAAGTCCCTACATAATATGATAAAAAAATTTAAAAATTAGATTATATTTTAAAAATAGGATAAAGAATTTTATACTTCTCATGATTGCACATAAGTCCAAAAATCTCACCATATACAACCTTGAAGCAGGACAGTCCCACAATATTCCTTTTCCTGTCTCTTGCTTTCATTCACCACTCCCTTCTTCTTGAACATCCACCTACCCGAGAGACATCTTAGCAGTAACTGGCATGTCATGACAAGCCGCCCATATTCAGAATACCACAATGACAGGCACTCCCAACATGAAACCACTATTACAAATTACCATCTGCAGTGCAGTAGCTTAGTTCACAGGTATCAGTACAAAGTTCATCTTTTTGTCTACGAGATACTTGTTTTGGGAACTGTTGGTGAAACTGTCTTCGAGTTGATTTTTCACCTGCATCAAAAATCAATTGAGCATATTTTTATGCGTACATTTCTGGATTCTGTAGTGTGTACTACATAGCATTTTCAAATTGGGTAGTGAGAGGTAGTAGAATAGTATTTGCTGGGGGTGAGGAATGGGAAAATGTTGATCAAAGGACATGAAGTTTCAGTTAAGTACGAATAAATTTAAGAAATGTATTTACAATATGATGAGAAATAGTGTTCATATGAAAATTTCTGAGAGTGTAGCTCCTAAGTGTTCTTACCGCAAAAATGTCTGTGAGGCAATGCATATTTTAATTAGGTCAGTTCTGTCATTCTATAATGTATACATATTTCAGACACATGTTACATATATATGTATCATTTTTGTCAATTAAAACTTAAACTTTAGGGGCTGGGGAGATGGCTCGGCAGAAGAAGTGCTTCCCTGGCAAGCGCAAGGGCCTGAGTTCAATCCCTGGTTCTGGAAAAAAAAAAAAACCAAAACTTTAATAAACTTATAAAAACCATGAGAGAACAAATTTCTATTGTTTAAGCCAAAAAGTAGAAAACGATAGTTGCATTCATGTGTCAAAACGTACTGTGCCCCATTCATTATCATATGTCAATAAAAAGCAAAATAAAATGTTGTAGAACCTGTTCTGGATTTTTTTTCACCAACCCTTCCTAAGTGGCCATTGATTGAAAGGCTCCAGGCCACACATGGTATTTCCATAGTATTGAGCATATTGGAGTAGGTCTAGTCTAGAAACTACCTGAAATTTGTATTTGGTTTGTTTACTTTTAGCCTTCTTAAAAGGATATTGATGGTGATTACTGCTTAGCAAGTATATCGTGAGTGGCAGAATATTGAGCCAGTAAAAAGCCTGTGCCTCTCTGCACATTTTCCTACTTGGTAATGTAAGAAACCTTGATTTCTTTCTGTTCCTCGATCAGAACATCTTAAAGGAATTGTTTGCCATTCATGACCACTTAGAAATTATATTGTGGGTCCAAATGACCTTTTGCCTTGCTTTTGAGCCTTCCAAATGATGTAGTTAAAGTGATTGTACTTAGTAAAGATTATACTAATGAAGTGATTATGTTCTATTCTTAGGACATTGCTAATGGGCGTTTTGTACATCATTATATGTTGCCTTTGTTCATAAGACACTTTTTAGGCTTGTGTAACAAAGGGATGTAGGCAAGTTTCATCTGAAGAGATTCTTACGTCATAGTTATGCCCATGTGTTGACATAGCGTCATGACTCCAGTGTTAATGCTTTTAAATATTTTGCATAGTCTTGATTCTATATTGTCTGTGTCCAAGCTTGTAAAGCTCAAAATTACACCTTATAATACTCACTTCTTTGGGGATTTTCTTTTTAGATCGTAAAGCGGAAAATTGAAAACATGAAAGTAGACAGAACCAAACTGAAAAAGACACCTACTGAAGCTGTAAGTACTCAGAAGAAATTTGCTTTGCCTGTTTTGATTTTAAAATAAGCTCACCAATATTGATACTCTAAATTTATCATCACTTATATATACAATGTAATAAACATAGCTTGGAGTGCTAGGAGAGTAGAAGTATCTAGCATGCATGAGGTCCTAGATTCAGTACTACTCAACACTACAAAAAGAAAATGACAATTTATCTTGAAACAGATTTTCTTTTCAACTTCTCTTGAATGAAAACGAGTGTGTGACCAGTGAAAAGTAAACACTACATTATAGCTGTCAGTATCTGAACTAGGGTCTAAGGATGCTACTACACCTGTGTATTGAAAATGGAAAAAATGAGGTGGGTTCAAATTTTACTGTAGGTATTGGATATTTCCCAGTTTCTTTAGAAAATGAGAGTGGTGACACTTTCCTTAGTAATTTCATTCCCTTATTATATATTTTTCAGCTTTATTCAAGTATTCCATCAGCTGACTTTTGAACTACATTGTGAGGTTAAGGAAATACTGCATTAAAATAGTCTCATAGACTCCCAGTGCCATAGTCCAAAGAACACAAACTTTGGAATTAGATCTGGGTGGGTTTGAATGTGACTAGACTTTTGTTTCTTTCTGTAGGTTTATTAACCTTTCACAGCTGCAAAATGGGGTTGATAATTCCTCCTTCCTTGATATGAGACAATTGTTTAGCATAACATTTTTGCATGTAGTAAATTAGTCATCCCTTTTCTTCCTTCCTCCCACTTGTGGTACTGGAGAATGAATCCAGTGTCTTGGCACTGATCTACATACCCAGCCCTTGTTTATTTTTGAGATAGAGTCTTGCTAAGTTGCCCAGGCTGCTTTCAAATGTTTGATCTTACTGCCTCAGCTTCCTGGGGTGACAGGATTATAGGTATGTACCACCACACCTAGCTTAGTTCATTTTCTAAATGTAGGTCACTTTTTAAATTTTTAAGTTAACTACCTGACAAATATCACTGTGGGATAACCATTAATAACATTTTTGCTGGACTTTTCTGATCTAAAAAGATTACTGCCTGTGTCCATACAATTATTGTGACCTTTTCATTCAGTATTATATTAATGAATATGAGAAGTACTTCTCATAGTCTTGCCAGCATTTTGGACTGTCTTTTAATTTTTATAAATGTATTAGATGGGGATAAAAGTATTTGACTATTTAATTTTCATTGCTTTAATGCTTCAGTGTTTTTCAAGTGTATTGGCCTTACTTTGGTTTTCATCCTGTGCCTTCATTTTGTGTTTGGCATTGGATTTTCAGATATTTTTTATTACTAAATGCCACATGTATTGCGTATATTCATTTTCATATGTGTTACAGATACTTTTATTTGCTTTTAACTGATTTTTATGTGTTTTGGCATGTAGAACTTTCGACAGCCATATGTGTTAGGATATCTTCAGAAACTAAAGAGCAAAAGAAAACTTGGCTTCAGAAAGTACAGTTTAAAAACTAGTGTATGCATAAGAGATTTGAAAATCAGGAGAAAAGATCCAAATATACACAAGAACTTTCTGAAGAAATGACAATAGCAGGAATATATATTGTAGGGAAGATAGTATTAGTGCCAGTACAATTTTTTTGACCTATGGGAGGTGGGAGGCTGTTTAAATTCTACATACATCAAAAGGCAGAAATAAATTATGGAAATAGAGCATACAGATGAACCTGGAACCTTGCATGTATTAAACACGTCCACAGAGCTGTGTTCCCAGCACTTAACTTCCAGTTCTGTACTTTATTCATGAATCTATTCTCTTTTCTTTATGCATTTCATCCCTGGCCCTTATTTTCAGTTCTCTGTTTCAATATGAACCTGTTTTTTTTTAATCTGTTTGCTCTCACACATGAGGAAAACTAACATTCACAGATTATGATGAGTTTCCACAATTTATGATTCTTTATTGATAAGATTGAATTTGTACAGCAGACTGCTGTGTCTCAACTGGAATAGTTGATTGTATGTTGTCAGATCAGTGTTTAACAAAATGATAGAGGCCTTTTCCTATTTTACTGAGGCTCTGCATTTTTCTTGAATGTGATTTAAGGATGTAATTCTATACAGCAAGATGTAATTATAAATAGTAGTATGTAGATTTACTTAAAATTTAAGAGAGGGATTACTGGATTTACAATTTTTCCCAAAGAGGATTGACCTTCTAAGCATTATGATTAAAGCAAAGCAAAGAAACCATAATGGAAACCAAAATGCCATATCCAAAATAAAAAGATATATGAAAGTAGTCATTCTAACAGGCATCAGGTTATATTTCGTTTTGTATTTCCCCAATCTTTAACGATGTCAGCTACATTTAAATACTTATTGGCACTGACATTTCTTTGGAGAAAAGCTGGTTTAAATCCTTTGCTCACACTTTAGTGAGGTGGTAGTGGCGGTTACTATTGCTGCTGACGAATTGCAGGAATTTCTTACATATTTTTAAGATTAACATCCAGAAAATATTTGAAAAAGTAAAATAATTTAGTCACAGTGGGACAAGCATTACATAGTCTCTCTTACCTAAGGCATCTGAAATGAAAGAGTAAAAGGTACAGATGCAGGAAACGGTGGTTACTAGAAAGTGAAAAGATCATGGGGGGAAATGTTCATTGGGTATAAAGTTGCAGTTGCATGAGGCAAAATTCCAAAGATCTGCAGAACATAGTAGTACCTGTAGTTAGCAGTAAATTATTGTATTGTATACTTGTTTTTTTTTAGGTGAGGTCACACATAAATTACTCTTGTAACACTAAGAGACATACATAAAGAGACTTGGAAACTTGAAAGTGATGAGGTGATAGATGTGGTTATTACCTGGATTCTTGTGATAACATGAGTGCTTGCATGCATCCAGACTGACCAAATTGTGTACATTGATTATTATGTGCTATTTTTATACACTGATTATTATGTGCTTACACTTATGTAAAGTTGAAGCAGGTGTGTGTGGGAAGGCATATGATAAGCTGGAGAAAATCTTTAGGACCCAGTGTAGTTAGTAACTTTAGTATCAATAGGAAAAATATCCCAATGACAATAGTCATAGAACATTTCAGATAATATGTGAAGGAATCCTCTAGGAAGATTTAACCTTGTAGATATTGAGAACTGTAGTTTTAATTAATTAATTTATTTATTTTGGCAGAACTGAGTATTGAACTCAGGCCCTTGTGCTTGTGAAGGAAACACTTATTCTACTGAACCATCTCCCCAGCCCCTGTAGTTTTTATTTTGATATGTATTTCCTAGCTACTTCAGATAAAGTTCCTAGAGTTATAATTTGTAAGTTTTATTTTTAAGGCTCAAGTTACTTATTTTCCTTGAGAAATGCGCAGTACCCAATTTCCTATACTGTGGTAATTATTTTTTTTAAGAAAACACTTTTCTTAAATCACTTTATGTACTGTGAGAGTGTTGGGAGCCCCAAAAGCTAGGAAATTGATCAAATGTGTTTAGGTGGTACTAGGCCTCAGTGCCTAAAGCAAACAAGCTGCCTCAGTCCTGAGATGAAACATCCTGTCTGGTTAAGGCCCGCTATTAGTCGCTAGGTAACCTTATGTTATGTGTTCCTAACTTTGCACAAATGTAAATAAAGAACTATTTTGTTGTGCAGTGGAGTTAGTCTTGCCTATCAGGCAGACCAGGCACCACCTAGCCCAGCTTTTGTCGTCTTGTCTATTTTTTTTCATTGCCACTGCCATTTCTCCCCAGGTAGAACCAAATAGATCCCTACATGAGAGTACTGCAAAGGAATTTTCCACCTTAACTTGATAACTATTGGAATAAATCAGTACAAAACTAGGGTAAAAGGCAGGCCTGGTAGCTCAGCAGACTAAAGCACCTGCTTAGGCAGAGCACAGCAGACAGGATTCAATCCCCAGCGAGCTCTGCCGGCCTCATCCATGGGGCACGCTGAGACTGCGATTGAGACTGGGCGTGGTGGCGCAGGCCTTTAATCCCAGCTCTTGGGAGGCTGAAAATAGGAGAATCACTATGAATCTGATCTACATAGTGAGACCCTGTAGACCCTGTCCTAAAGACGGAGAGAAAAAAAAAAAAACAACAACAACAACAGGGTAATTGGCATGAAGTTACTTGCCCAGAAAATTGCTTTTCACATGACCATAGGCCAGGCTTGGTGATGCATGCTTATAATCCATCATATGGGACACAGAGGCAGAACTTGCAAGTTGGAGACCAGCCTGAACTGCATTGTGAAAGCTTATCTCATAAAGACCAAAAAAAATTATCATGTATGAGAAAAATTGCACTTGCTTTGCATTTATATGGCAGGTATAGGGTTGAAAAGATGCTTTTATGCTAACTGGATATTTTTAGCAGAAAACACAAGTACCTTACTAAATATCTTAAATATATGTGTCCCAGAGAGTCAGAGGAGGATCTTGTGAAAACCTGAGAAACAGCCACATCAGGAAACTTTCTAAAGGCCTGAAGTTCTAGAGAATAGTAGAATGTACCTTCAAAACTGAGAGACAAGTTATTGTAATTTGTGCTGCATGCCACAAGGAAAGTAAAACAGTGTATTTGTGGTTCTTCGGAATTTGAAGCCAATTTATGTCACATTTGGACATGATGTTTTGACCTAGTTCTTAGGTAATCACTAAAACATTTAGTGGACAGCACATATTAGTGATATTTGGATCAAGAAAAGATTGCACTAAACAGGTCCTGGTTATAATGCTACTTGTCCTACCACTTAAATCTTATGACTTACTAGACCCAAGTGCCTGATTTAAGTATTAACCAAAAGTGCTACTAGGACCCAAGCCATAATTATGGCTAAAATCCCTTGAGTTTTGACCATACTACCATCTCTTTATATTCAGAAATGTCTGTTGGCTTGCTATTGGGCCTTGTTATAAAGACTGAGAGATGTCTAACATACCAAGTTATTATAAGACCCAGATGTTTAAATAGCTGTTACCTGACCCATAGAATCACAAAATTATATTTTGAATAGCTACATTCTATTAGAAATTGAAGTATCATTATTCGCCATATTGTGTTTTACATGTGGAAAATCAGTCCCCTCCCCCGTTTAAATCTTGTAGCAGCACTGTTGGATTTATAAGTGACACTTATTTTGCAGAAAAGAATGCTGAGCTTCAGATAGGCAGTTTACTGACAGAGCCTATACTCTTTACAGTAGCATGTTGTCCTTCAGTATTTAAGCTCCTGTTATATGGCTAAGTACAGTACTTTATGTAGTGGCAGATATTTGAACTTAAGCTCACAAGATTTCTTAGGTCTGTATTCCTGGTGAGAAAATAGGTTGAGAGGTTGGACTTGCTCGTGGTGAATCAGCTTAGTACATAAACTAAAAACTGAGCATATGTTTGTTTGGTTTTTCAATCTAGGTGTGTTCCCAGGACACCATACTGCCTTTATAGATTTATAGAACAAATATAATAACTTCTACCAGCTGTCAGCCATTAATGGAATGCCTCCCTGTTCCAGTCTATATCCCATTTATTCATTCTACTTTGGGAATCTTTAATATAAATTCTCAGTCAACTCTTTACCCAGTAATCCCATTATCAGTACAAGAGAGCGGGAGTGTATAGAGGTGGGAACCATCAACTCTAGAGTATTAGTTTTTAGAGAGTTCATAATCTCGCTTCCGGGCAGGGGAGATGGCTCAGTAGAATAAGCGCTTCCCTGGCAAGCACAGGCCTGAGTTCAATGCCCAGTTCCACAAAAAAAAAAAAGAAGCTCCCTTTTTACAATTAGTGGATTTAATATTGGTGAAAAATATAGCCAATGCTAGTCTAGTCCTTTAACTGAACTTTCTTTAAAAACAGGATCTTGCTCTGTACTTTGGATTGGCTTTGAATTTATTATCTACCCCAGGCTGGCCTAAAACTTGCTACAGTCCACCTTTGCTCTGGCCTCCTAAGTGCTAGAATTATAGCTGTATGCCATCTTGCCTGGCTTTCAAATACAAATTTTTTCAGGCCTTTTACTGTTTGACTCAGCATACCTTCTAGGCATTCTGATTACCTTTCCAACCATGATACAGATTTCTTAATTTTGCTTTTGTATATTTGGCTTATTTCCTTTACATCTGTAGTCTCTTACCCTTCTAAGTAGTTTGATCTATAGACAAAAATACGTAGATAGTGCTGGGAGTGAGTGTTTGCTCAGGAGTATTTTATGTTAATCTCACGTGATCATCTGGAGAATCTCCAGTTTTATATAAGTAAAAAAATTACTTTGTACATTTAAAGGCTACTTTTCCCGTTTTGCTTCTTTCATTTCAAAACAATTTTTGTGAATATTTCTTTATTTTTCTCAGCCTGCAGATTGCAGAGCCTTAATAGACAAACTCAAAGTTTGTAATGATGAGCAACTCCTCTTGGAACTACAGCAAATCAAAACATGGAACATTGGAAAGGTATGTGAACACATGTCTACAAAAGATGACACTTGCTATGTGAGTACCTCATTTTGTGTGCTCTGATATGGAAAGAGAAAACCACAGTTGGGTAACCTGATTCAGATTACTTACCAAGGGTCATGTAGTATATATATAGCATAGCCCTATACCAGTGACTTTAGTCTATCTGTCCAGAAAATTAGGTGGGGGGGATTTGATAGCTATGGATGAGTACTGCTTACACAGGTATTGGTAAAGTGTTTGAAATAGCATCTGGAATTATTCTTCAGGAGTTTTTTTTGTCTTGGCTTTTTGATTGTGTTTGGTTTTGTTTTTGAGACAGGATTTTGCAAGTGTAGTTCAGTGTGGCCTTGAACTCTTGGTGATCTTCCTACATAAGCCTAGTGCTGGAATTAAGGCTTGTACCGACTCACTTAGCTAGGAATTTTACGTTCAGATTAAGAGAATTTTTTCAGATGACTCTGAAAATGACTTCTTTACACAAAATGGATTTTAGTGGTAATACTGTAGTTCCTGTCATTATAACCCTCAGAATTCTTCCTCTGAAGACCTAGCTTTAGGAATTTTATTGTGTCTACTAGGTAGCCCATTACTATGATTGGTCTAACAGTGAACTTCAGTTTCTTTTAGCTCAAAATATGATCTTACATGGGGAAAGGTAGGAACTAAATTTTCTGGGGTATCATGGTTCACTGTCCCTTGTACAAACCTTCTTCTACTACAAACCTTCAACATGGTTCTCTTAACATTTTCCTAAATGCTTTTTATTCTTGCTCTCTAGTGCGAGTTATATCACTGGGTAGACCTGTTGGACCGCTTCGATGGCATTCTGGCAGATGCTGGACAAACAGTGGAGAATATGTCATGGATGCTTGTATGTGATAGGCCAGAAAGAGAGCAGCTGAAAATGCTTCTCTTGGCTGTGTTGAACTTCACAGCCTTGCTTATTGAGTACAGCTTTTCCCGGCATCTGTACAGTTCCATAGAGGTAAGAGAGGTTCAGACCTATGTGATCTGTTTTCAACTAGGGTTGTGTATAGTGGCAAAGAAGAAAGTGCTTTTTCTAATAGTTGCTGCATTATTTTGACATTGTGCTTTAGATATTTTAGAGCACATATTTTATTAAACATAATGATAAGGGCTGATAATGTAGCTCAGTGGTAACACTTGCATAGCATGTACACCACTCTGGTTCAGTCCCTAGCAATGCCAAATGGAATTAAAAAAAATATTTAAGATATTTCTTGCTTCTAAACATTACCTTCTTAAAGTTGATGGGCAGGCTGTGTTCTATCACCTTCACCCTGCCATTTCTAGATTCAAGAAATGAGAACTGTAGCACTGTTTAGGTATATTCTTGAGAATTTGAAGAAAATAATCTTTGTATTGGGTTATTAAACAATTTACCAAACATTATTTGAACTGTTAGGAATAGTTTGATTTCCTTAACATATTAATGTACTGCTTTTCAACTTAACTAGTCTCCCACATCCTTCCAAAATACAGAATCCTCCAAAAAGAAAAAGTATATACACTTGAGGAAAAGTAAAAAGAAAAGTTACCTTTGAGCCCCCCCCCCTTTTTTTTTTGATGGTACTGGGGATTGAACTCAGGACCTTGCACTTGCCAGGCAAGCACTTTCTCTACTGAGCTATCTCCCTAGCCCCCATCAAGTTATCTTTGGACTCTACAATTACAAGTGGTGCTCAAAGTGGGTGGCCTTTAGCTTCCAGACATTTATTGTTAGCACAGCAAACTGCTGCTTGGGTATCCTTGGGATTGCTACACGTACATTTGCAATTTCTTTTCTAAGGGCCAAAACTGTAGTGGGTTTTCTGCAATATGCAATGTCCCGTAGGGTCCTCCATATGAGGCTCCACCATCTATTGACCAGATGTGCATTTTTTCGTGTATCCTGTATTTATAGTTCTCACTCAGTATCTGGAGTGGGGGAGAGATAGTTCCAGAATTCCGAAATAGTATGTACTCAAGTATCAAACAAAATAGTGTGATGCTTGCATATGACCTATGTACATTTTCTCCTATATTTCAGTTCATCTCTAAGTTACTTATGATATAGATAACGTGATGTGAATGTAGTGTAAACAGTTGTTTAGAGAGTTCTGATAAGAAAAAAGTGTACATGTTCAGTAAGGGTATATTTTCCATCCATAGTTGATTGAGTCAAAGATCACAAGACCCACATCTGTGGAGGGCCAGCTGTACCCATAACATCCTCTGTGTCCTTAAAGAGTAAAGTTGAGCCTCACCAGCCCTGCCCTTAGGGCATGCTGAGCTGCCCCCCTCCCCCAAAAGAGTAAAATTGAAAGAACAATCACTTGAGTTTTTGAATTTGTCAAAAATCACTATATGAAGAAATTCCTTTATCTTAACTTTGAACATCTTCTCATCTTTAATAGGTGCCCTGTTAATTTTAATTGTGCTACTTTTCTATCAGAATCAGATTAAACAAGTAGAAATGAAATAGGAGAAATATGGGATAACTAAACTAAAGATCTAGCATACAGATGTTATCCTTGCTGCTGCTGTTTATAGACAGGGTTTCACTGTCTAGGCTGGTCATAAATCCGCTATGTAGCCCAGGCTGGCCTTGAACTCACAGTGACCTCCTGCCTTAGTCTCCCAATTCCTGAGGTTAAAGGTGTATACCACCATGCTTGGCTGCACAAATGTTTTTAAGAGAGTGTTAGAGAAGCATTCTGTTAAATAGGCTGCTCAGGGAAATCCATGGCATTCAGAATAATTAGCCAACAAAAATTGCTTGGTTCATTTCCAGTTAAACTATATACAATTCTATTTCTCAGTGTTTCAATTTATTGATGAATTTAGTTGTATTTAAAAACCAAAATACAGTAATCCCTTTCATGTTATAAGAATATATGAAAGTCTTACATAATTGTCCCCTGCTATTATAGGGATCTTTGGCTTTTACAGGACGGGTTCTGTGTCTCATTAAGAATATAGGATTATACAGTTTTCTTTCTTTTTCCATAATTTTATTGATAAACAAATAGCATGAGACAGAGTCAAATCAAATTGGTAGGACAGTTTCAATAATTAACACATTGCATACATTCCTCCCAGTGGTTAATTGCTGTACATAGTTTTCTTTCTTTTCCATTACTTTCTTTTTTTTTTAAATATTGTATCTTTAGTTTTATTTTTTTTCAAAGTTTTATTGATAAACAGATAGCAATGAGACAGTTTCAAATCAAATCGAAAGTACAGTTTCAAGAAATAATACACTGCATATATTCTTAGTGGTTAATTGCTGTACAAGATGTGGACTTGTGATCCTATTTACAAACACCATTAGAACAAATCATTCTATTCATTAACAGAATGCGACTATATATCTATCCCAACCACTTTGAATACACAGATACAAAATGGACATTCATCGGTATACCCCATTTTTTCTAAGTTCCGTTATTGAATATTATAGGTGTGTAAACTCAGCAAAATATTCTAAAAGAGTCCAGTAGCCCATAATAGCACTGGGTCTTCTGTTTAACTGGCAATGTCAGAAATTATTGACCTGAGTCCTCCACAGCTCAACATAACAACATGGCTTTACTTCCTATATCTCATCTTCATACTTTTCTACTGGCTGGTTAAGACCAAGGTAAAGCAGGACCTGTGCAATAAGAGTTGTAGCTCTTTGGTCTGAGAAGGTCAGTGAAATGCCCTCAGGATTTATCCTGAGATCCTGTACCTCAGATTGTAGAACCTTTGTCAGTGCAGCCATGTGGATGAGTCACGGCCACTGCCCATTACTTTCTTGTGTCCAGTTGCAAACAGTGTTTTAATCTACTTGCAAACATAGCTGTTACATCAGATTGTTTCTTTTATTATCTCATTTCTTTCTTTCGGAACACCTGTGCAAGTTTGAACTACTGTCTAAAACTTTTATCTTTATTTCACTCTTCTGTTTTTTCTGCCAGGTTATAAGCTCCTCATGAACAAGGTTACATGATCTCAAATATTAATCCTTTGTTTTGTTACTAAACTTATTCTTTGTGAATGTTGATAAATTCATTACATGGGATTTAAAATTTCAGGGAAAAGTTTGCCTAAAATCTTGTACTTTTGCCCTTTTTTCTTATAGCATTTGACAACTTTATTGGCTTCCTCTGATATGCAAGTGGTGCTGGCAGTCCTTAACCTTCTATATGTATTTAGCAAAAGATCAAACTACATCACACGTCTTGGATCTGACAAGAGAACCCCACTACTAACACGACTACAACATCTGGCAGAGGTGAGTCTTAGGTCAAGAATGGAAGGCATAAAGATTGTGGTTCCTTTTAGCTGACATTTCTTACAGTGTCAAATTGGAGTAGAAGCCCTGAGCTAACTTGACTATTGTGAATAGAACAATCTGGGAAAACTTAGTTGAGTTCCAGAAATCCTTTCTTTGCTATTAAGTAATTTGGAAGGGTTTTTTATGAATCTGCTCAAAAAGCCAACTCTTTTGTTCAATACTGGAAACTTCAGTTCTGGTTTTTGGGGTGTGTTTTTAGTTTTTTGTTTTTGTACTGGGAATTGAACTTAGGACCTTTGCTTTCCAGGCAGGCTGTGTGCCACTGAGCTGTCTCCCTATCCCTGAAAATTGTCTTCTGGAAAGAAAGTTCATACTCAGATAGTTTGCTTGAGAAGGAAACAGTACTATAAAAAGATTTAGGTGAACTGGAGTCTTATTAGCTCTCATGTTTTCTAATCTGGGAATTCGGTGTTATATAAACTTAAAGTTGTTTCAGAATAAGTAGAGGACGAATAGGGCTGGGGAGATGGCTCATGCCTGGCAAGCACAAGGTCCTGAGTTCAATCATAAGTACCGCAAAAAAAAAAAAAAAGGTCTTTGTGCTGGCCAAAAAGCTCAGCAGATTAAAGTGCCTGCTTGCTGGGGTTCGATTCCCTGGGCCTGCCTTGCCAGCCCTGCCTCTGGGGTGCACTGAGACTGCAATTGAGACCGGGCAATGGTGGCTCACACCTGAAATCCCAGCTCTTGGGAGCCTGTAAACAGGTGGATCACTACGAGTCTGATCTAGTGGTGAGGCCCTGAACAACAGACCCTTCCCTAAAATACAAAAAAAAAAAAGTAGAGGATGTTTAGGTCTGTGATTAGTACTTTAGTTTAGAGATTGTGATTTAAGTAAAAAAACTTTTTCAAGAAAATTCAGTTTTGCCATGCTGTTGTCCACTATGGCTAGAGGATAATTGATAATACTAAAGTATGAAAGATATCCATTTATGGAAAGCTTTCTTAAAAGAAAAATGTGAAGAATGGATTTTTAAAAGCTAATTTAAAGGTTACCTCACAAATTAATATAACTCAAATTTGAGGGTGCTTTTATCACTTAAAAATCATTTTTGTATGTATATACCACAATTTCTATAGCATGTAGGAACTATGTACAAAATATCACTTTTAATTCACTTAAGCCTCATTTAATTAGTGAGCATTTTTCTTCTTGAATTTGCAAATATGCATATGTAGACTTGCAATCTGTTTCCTTTTTTCATTTATTTTTATTTATTGAATGATTTAATGGTGTTGGGAATCCAGCCAGGGCTTATTGTATGCTAGGCAAATACTCTTTAACACTGAGCTACACTTACAACTATGCTACCTACATTCTAGACATATGCTATGAGCACTTTCTCATATTATTAAAAATCTCACTGTCATCTTTCCTAACTGTTCTCCTTTCCGTCTCTTAATTATTTAGTCCTCGTGTTCTTGCTTTCCTTTTACTTGTATTATACCTTTCTATTTGTATTTCTTCTTTTGAGTTCTTATACTAGGGAAACTATATGATATTTACACATGTGTGTCTGGTTTATTTCACTTATGAGTATATCTTCAAGTGGCATCCACTTCAATATAAAGGTTTTGAGTTTATCATTGTTTATAGCTGAGTAATACTCGATTGTATAAAAATACCACATCTTTTTCATCCATCCGTCAGGTGATAGGCATCTTAGTTGTTTCCAAGATTTGGCTGTCACAAATTGTGCTGCTGTAAACATAGACACACATATATCCCTATGATATGATGTTTTCAGATCCTCCAGGAAAATTCCCAGTAGAGGAATAGCTGGTTTAAATGGGATTTCCAGTCCAACTTTTCTAAGGCGTCTCCACAGTGATTTCCATAACGGTTGTACCAGTCTACATTCCCACCAGCAGTGGAGAAGGGTTTCTTTTTCCCCACAGCCTCTCCAACATTTGTTGTTGATGATTGCTTTATGATAGCCGTTCTTTCAAGACGATTATGGGGCCAAAGAGGAAAGTGATGGATGATGTAGAGTGTGCCTAAGGAGAGTCACATGGAGAAAAAAACATTCTCTCAGGCTTTCACAGAGAGCACATTGGCCAAGCAATGGCCGTGACTCATCCACATGGCTGACACTGACAAAGGTTCTACAATCAGAGGTACAGTATCTCAGGATAAATCCTGAGAGGATTTCACTGACTTTATCAGACCCAAAAGCTACAACTCTTGTTGCAGAGGTCCTGCTTTACCTTGGTCTTAACCATCCAGCAGAAAAATATAAAAACGAAATATAAGAAGTAAAGCTACGCTTTTATGTTGAGCTGTAGAGGACTCAGGCCAACAATTTCTGACATTGCCCGTCAAACAGAAGACCCAATACTATTATGGACTACTGGACTCTTTCAGAGTATTTTGCTGAGTTAACACACCTGTAATATTCAAATAATGGGACTAAACAAAAAAGGGGATACAGATGAATGTCCATTTTGTATCTGTATTCAAAATGGTTAGGATAAATATATAGTTACATTCTTTTAATGAATAGAGGGATTTGTTGTAATAGTGTTTGTAAATAGGATATCATGTCCTCATCTTGTACAGCAATTAACCACTAGGAAGAATGTATGCAGTATGTTAATTATTGAAACTGTCCTACCAATTTGGTTTGAAACTGTCTCATTGCTATTTGTTTCTCAATAAAATTATGGGAAAAAAATCTCAAAGCACTTACACGTTCAGTCTCAAACAATTAGTAAGACAGATTCTACAGCTTAAGAAATGCTCCAAAATCATTTGATAAAATTCAGCACATTAATAAAATGCTAATATAAGCTCAGGAAATTAGGAAAAGGAACTTTTAATTCATATTGGGAAGCTTATTCAAAAGTCAGACAAAAATGAGAAGTAGTATTTCTGTCATAAATTTGTATAAGTCCTAACCAGAAGAATAAGCAAAAAGAAAAAATTTAAGAATACCTATTGAAAAGGAAACGTTATTTGTAGCTGATAGAGTTGAGTGTTTGGGTTTTGGTGGGGAGACAATAAAATGTTATTAGAACCAATAAAACAAGTGATAGCCAAGCAAAAGGTAAATCTACAGAAATAACTTACTTCTCAAGAGATTAGTAATAGCCAATTTGAAAATGATTGGTAAAAAGACCCTTTGACAGTATGAACAATTATAATGCCTGTGAAATAAACCATATTTATTAAAACTATAATAGTACATAAATTATGATTCAATGGTGATGAAGGAAATTTTAGTCACAAAAGTATAAACCAAAATGTAAAACTTTGAATTTTATGATAAAACAAAACCCAGCATAGTTCTGTGCTACTTTTTGGTATCTTTACATTGGGATGTAAATTAACACATTGCTGTCTTTATTGAGAAAAATTGTCAGTTATGCAAATTATTGTACTTAATGTGGTTGAAGAGGGCCGGGAAGATGGCTCAGTAGAAAAAGCACTTGCCTGGCAAGCACAAGGGCCTGAGTTCAATCCCTGGTTCCACCAAAAAAAAAAAAAATGTTGTTGAATAAAATCCTGATACAAATTCATTTTTTCATGGACCTGTAACACTTTCAAATAGTTAATGGAATAATAGATGATCTGCACACAATTAAGCACCACTACCAAAGACGACAGTTTTAGAGCTATTTAGCAATGTTTTAAAGCTGACAAAGGACTGTTATTGTTGGATGTCTGAAAAAATCCTTCAAATCCACAAGGATAAACAGAGGATATAGCTAGATAGTTCATAGACCAGAAAATTTAGCATGTGTGTTAATGCCCAACCACAGTAATGATTAGGAAAATAAAAATAAAAAACAAAACTTTGTAAACATCATGTTGACTAATTCGGAAAACTATAATAGTAAGTATTGGTAGATATTTGAGGCTATAGGAACCCTTAGGAATATAGACTGGTATTCCTGAGTACATATTTCAAAAACAATGCATTATTCCATAAATGTGACATGTGTCAGAATATTTCATCATTGTGGAAATGAATTAGAGACAATATCAGTGTGCAGTACAAGTAGACTAAAAGTAATACATACTGTGTAATATGTAGCAGATATAAGCAGTGGAACATACTAAGTAACATGAGTAGCTTTTGAACAGAATGCATAAATGGTAAAAAGAGTGATTTTTGGTACCATTTCTGAAACTTAATGCATGAACATTAAATAACCTATTGTTTCAAGAAAATACAGAGAATAGACACCAGAAATAAACATAATTGTTGTTGCTCATGATAAATGAGCAGTAATTGCACAGATGAGTACATAAATAAGTAAAAGGAAGGTTTTAGAAATTTCTGTTAGAAATCTATACTTTTACCTATAGATTTAGAAATTCACATAATGTAAATAATTTTTGCATGAGAAGATAGTATAGTAAAAGCCTTTGAAATTAAGATCAACTTGATGGTAGGTTATTTGAAAAATTTTATTAGAGCAGCAAAAGCATGAAGTGTTCATTGTGTGCCACATTTTAAAAATGAAAACATAAATGTTCCCTTACCTTTCTTTTCTAGAGTCAAAAACTTAGTATCTTATACACACTACACTTACAACTTGTAATTTCTTCAAAGTGAGGTAAAAATGTAAACACATTTCTAAAGATACATGAATACGGTATCAAATTGACATTTTTATTTTTGTCTATTATTTTTCAATAGACTAAAATATTTAGCTTACTTTTTATGAAAAATTCCTTTTCCTGTTTAAATTATTGTTATATGTAGTATTTAAAATTATATAAACAAAAGAGTTTGAGGACATAAATACCTGACTTGCTACCCATATGTATGATTACTGATGGGAGCAAAAGAATATATTAGTCAATCTGATATTCACACAGCATGGAGAATGCAGTTGCTCAGATTAAGAATGTCATTGCTCAGGTTATGTGGAATTTAACCAGAAAACAAATACATAAAAATAATAAAACACTAATAAAGATCAGAGTTATT